GATTACCACTGTTTTAATTAATGCGTGTTAAGTTACTATTGTCAGTGACATCTACTATCCGAAAAGCAAGGAGAATGTAATACAGTGGTACCTTGGTTTAAGAACAGCTTAGTTTATGAACAACTTCGATTAAGAATGCTGCAAACCCGGAAGTCGATGTTTTGGTTTGTGAACTTTGCCTTGGAATAAGAACATGTTCTGCTTCCTGTTGAGTGTGTTCCATTCGTAAATTGAGTTCCCCGCTGCTATGGGAAAGCATGCCTTGGTTTAAGAACGCTTTGGTTTAAGAACGGACTTCCGGAACGGATTAAGTTCGTAAACCAAGTACCAAGTAATTATTTTTCACAACAAAAAGCGGAGTTCTGTACTGTCACTTTTGTAGCATTGGGAAGTGTGGGGTGACAAAGGTCATATTATAGGGAAGCAGCCTATTTGCTTCAGCACTGCAGCAGGAGGTAGGAAAGGGTTAAATTCCCCCTCTCTCTTTCTGGTATGATCCCAATAATCATCACACACACACACACACACACACACACACACACCCCACAGCAGCTGCTATTTTGTTTTTGTTTTTAAAAAACACATGTGTGTTAAATGCATTTAACATCATGTCTAATTTGACCCAACATAAGACTTGGGGTGGGTGGTGGATAATATACTTAAAGGAAATTAGAAATGAGGCCTGTGGATTTCATGAAAGGCCTCTTATCTTTCATCCATTGTGATAAAACACTTGGGTGTATAGACAAAGCTAAGGCAGGAGGAACATGGTGCTAACCTTCTGCCCCACCTGAGAAGGCATCACCAGTTTAAAACTGTGTGGGTACATTGATATTTCATTATTCGATACATGCATATTTAAACCACTTCAAAGTGACTAGGGCATGGTCTAGCCAAAGTCAAGCACTTCAGTTCTCATAGATTTAAGAAAACCATCCCCATCACCTTAACATTTATATAATTTCATGGTTTCAAATCACTGTATAAAATGCATTATCTAGCTGTACTTTATAGGGATGCTATATAAATCGACATTATTATCCCCATATTCCAGGTGTGCATGTGTGTTACGAGTTGGGCGGCTGAGAGTGACTTGCCTAAGGCTATTAGCACAGCCATGTCCAAAATCCATTTCAGGGGCCTAATCCGGTCCACCGGTCTGTTTCATCCAGCCCCTGTGGCAGTTTTATTTCCTGGGGTAAAATCCTAAAAAACCCTCAGCAACTTCAATCCTAAAAAAAGGTAAAGGTCAACAACTCTAGTTGGCCCTTTGGTCGGCCCTTCACTTCATCAAAGCTGGCCCTCTTTGAAAAAAGTTTGGACACCACTGATCTCGTGAGTCCATGGCGCAGTCTGCTTTGTAGCTTAGTCTTTTTAGCCACTGTGGCACTCCAGCTCTCTAGATGCAGCTGCTGAACCCAGTGGAACTTAAAAGGGCTTAACTTTGGCTGGATTGTGTCCTTAGTATTATTGAGCAGCTCTGTCTATAAGGTCACAGAGAGTTCTGCTGGCTACCATAGACCGAGAATCCTGAATGGATTGTAAGTGCACAGCTGGGAATGGGAATGTGTTGAGCTGACTGATTTAGGGAAGCACATTTTGAGGTTTTACTTGGTGTGTCCAACTAATTAATTATCTGAATGGTACCATTAGTCTTCCGACATTAATTTAAAGCCTGGTTAATTACTGAAGACTCTCTCATGGGAACGTTCTTTGCTTCCCAGGTTGTGTTATGCTTCTCCCCGGTGGGTTTCACCCTGAGAGCAAGAGCAAGGAAATTTCCAGCCCTCGTCAATTGCACTGCCATTGACTGGTTCCATGCTTGGCCCCTGGTCGCTCTCCAGTCCGTTAGCACCAGCTTCATTGACAAGATGGATTTACTTGATGTAAGTACAGCTTATTTTGCTGCCGTGGGTTTTGTGCATGACTTCTGAAATGCTCCATTTTGCAAATCTAGCCACGGAAGCACTACTGGTCAGGTTCTCTCCCACAACTGTTTACTATTGCCTCTTCAAAATCACGCTTCACTGGGGGAAATCGGATATTAGTTATTGGTTTGGATATTACTGTAGTTATCTGGAGATCCTGTGACTGGAACAGAAAGCATGAGATACAGTATAGTTCAATAGACAAATACATATTTGTCTATTGAACTATATCTCCACAGGATCTCCAGATAATCAATTTTTTAAAATGTATTAAAAATCAAGATAAAATGATAAAAGTAGCATAACAAATAGAATTGCCAGGAGAAATAGCAGGAGATTCAGGACAACAAAAAGAAGTACTTCATTGCATAGCTACAGCTGTAACTGGATTGGGATAACCTGGCCATTGTAGTCCATGCATTGGTAACTGGATTACTGCAATGTGTTTTAGGTGGGGTTGCTGTTGTGCCTGGTCCAGGTAGAATCATATAATTGTAGCGTTGCAAAGGGCCATCTAGTCCACGCAGAATGCAATGGCTGGACTGCTGCTGGGGGAACATGGCTGACACCTCTGCTAAAACAAGTACACTGGCTACCCACATCCTACCTGACCAGGTGCAAGGTCTTGTGCTAATATGCAAAGTTCTGATTGACTTGGGTCCAGGAAACTTCAGGACCAACCAGCTGAGCTCTTCTATTGTAGCCTGATAACTGCAATCACCTGGTGGAGTGCATCTGCTCACCTTCATCCATTGTTCCCCTTGCCTCTCTTTCTCTCTATGGGGGATGTGGGTGGCACTGTGGTCTAAACCACTGAGCTTCTTGGGCTTGCCAATGAAAAGGACGGCGGTTTGAATCCCCACGACGGGGTGAGCTCCCATTGCTCTATCCCAGCTCCTGCCAACCTAGCAGTTCGAAAACACACCAGCGCAAGTAGATAAATAGGTACCACTGTGGCGGGAAGGTAAACGGCGTTTCCGTGCGCTCTGGCTTCCATCACTGTGTTGCGTTGCACCAGAAGCGGTTTAGTCCCGCTGGCCACATGACCCAGAAAGCTATCTATGGACAAACGCCGCCTCCCTCGGACTGAAAGCGAGATGAGCGCCGCACCCCATAGTCGCCTGACTGGACTTAACCGTCCAGGGGTCCTTTACCTTTTACCTTTCTCTCTCTTTCTCTGTCTTCCTCCTCACTTTCATTCGTTGCTTCCACACAGTCAAAGTGTTGACTGCAAACACCTTGGGACAATAAGCAGTCTTTTTCATTATTATTTAGGGTCCTCTGCAAAGCACCATGTATGCCAAAGGCATAGTATGATGTAGCGGGAATAACCTTGTGGGATGCAAGAGAGGTCAATCTAATTTTCCTTTCAGCTAGGGCAGGCCCAAGACTAAGATCCAGCGCCGAGGGCCTTCTGGCGGTTCCCTCATTGCGTGAAGTGAGGTTACAGGGAACCAGACAGAGGGCCTTCTCGGTAGTGGCGCCCACCCTGTGGAACACCCTCCCTTCAGATGTGAAGGAAATAAGCAGCTATCTTATCCTTAAAAGACATCTGAAGGCAGCCCTGTTTAGGGAAGTTTTTAATATTTAATGCTGTACAGTGGTATCTCAGGTTAAGTACTTAATTCGTTCCGGAGGTCCGTTCTTAACCTGAAACTGTTCTTAACCTGAAGCACCAGTTTAGCTAATGGAGCCTCCTGCTGCTGCCACGCCGCCAGAGCCCGATTTCTGTTCTTAAGCACTATTTCTGGGTTAGCGGAGTGTGTAACCTGAAGCGTATGTAACCTGAAGCGTATGTAACCCGAGGTACCACTTTATTGTTTTTAACACTCAATTGGTATTTTAATATTTTGTTGGAAGCCGCCCAGAGTGGCTGGGGAGGCCCAGGCAGATGGGCGGGGTATAAATAAATTATTATTATTATTATTATTATTATTAGGCTGCCTGAGGTGAAGGGGCAAGATGGCACCCCGGCTAGTTCCACATACAGAAACCAACTCAACTGGCTGCTGAATCTTACTTCAACATTGGTGATTGGGACATTTATTTTGTTTACACCCTAGCATCCTCCATCACTCCGGAGGCAGCAGGCCAGATTAGAAGACTCATGTGGCAACAGAGAGGAATGACTGGGGAATGTTGTGGTCCTCTGAGGTGTTTGCCTCCCTCTATCTAATGGTTGGGTTGCGGCTGCTTTCGGCTATTCAGTTATGTGCCGGCCAAATAAAATGAAACCAGAATGGAATTCTGGGGCTGTCAGCAATAATGAGGAGTAATAGGGTATTATCTGAAAAAGAAAATAAACCATTAAAAAAAGAAGAAGAAGTAATAGGATTCTCTGGGATACGGTAGTAGAATATCACCATTTGGACCAATTACACAGAAAACAATAACCCAGTCCTCTAGGGCCTGTGAGCATTCTCAGGCACAGCGTGATCTCAAGCTGAATCAAATTGTTCTTACTTTGTAAGTAAGTCTAAGCCAGACTGCTGCTTAATGACAGTATTAAGCTACAAAAATCTTTCATTCTATCTAGGTCTAACCTAATGAATTTGCTAACATAAAAGCAAAAATGAATGGCAGTTTCCTCCATTAAAAGCAATTTCCTATCCTAAGGGAAAAGTTTACTTATTTCTCATACCATATTTTTCAGTAGCATTAACATCGTGAAAGTAGAGCAATTACCTTTAAATTACAGAGCTAAATATTGTGTCACCGTTATAAAGAAAATGGTATTGTTGCATGCTACTGCAATAATTTATTTATTTTTTTTGCTTCGTAAAAGCGTTTCAATCTCAGCAAGGTTTCTTTTGTCAACAAGCTACCATTTCAACTAAATTAAGTAATAGTCTTCATGCTGTATTTTGTGCAGAGAGATCGTACGCAAGTAGCACATAATCCTTCAAAAGATTTTTTTTTTCTTATTTAGAGCAGACTTCCTTATCTGCAAATTAATCCAGTGCAAACCATGACAAACAATAATATAATTAGCAGTTATGTCAGCCTCTTCTTTTGCATGTGATTCCTCCAATTCCGCTAATACTATTTTTTTTATTATTATTGTAGTAGGAGCTGTTGTTATTTATAGCTCAGTCGGTAGAGTATGAGAAGCTTAATCTCAGGGTCATGGGTTCGAGTTTCCTGCATTGCAGGGGGCTGGACTAGATGACCCTTGTGTTCCCTTCCGACTGTACAATTCTATGATTCTGTGGTTGTTATATGCAAACTTACTGACTTTCTTATATAAAAAACAGAAGGGTACATCAAAGTGACTTTCTTGCAGAATATTCTGTAAGTGAGTTAGCCAAGAACACCATGGTTTTTGGGAGCATCTGAAAACTGGACATTTATACATCTCTCTTGGAAGACAAAACTTTCATATGTATTCCAGGATCTTTAGGGTACTTCTAGGCCAGCGAAAGTGCTGAAATTTTGTGTGCACAAAGAGTAAGTACCGTATTTTTTGCTCTATAAGACTCACTTTTTCCCTCCTAAAAAGTAAGGGGAAATGCGTGTGCATCTTATGGAGCCCAGAAGCCAGAACAGCAAGAGGGATCGCTGCTTTCGCTGCGCAGCGATCCCTCTTGTTGTTCTGGCTTCTGAGATTCATAATATTTTTTTTCTTGTTTCCCTCCTCCAAAAACTAGGTGCGTCTTATGGTCTGGTGCGTCTTTTAGAGCGAAAAATACGGTATTTTGCTTGGAGCCTTTTCATAGAAAGGTGTGATAGAGATGTTTGAAACAGTGAATTAATAAGAAAATGTGAATAGGAGGGGGAAAGTTTGAAAAGGTTGGGAACTGATATATGGTGGCTACATTTCAATGTTAATTCATGACTTCATAAGCCATGGTTTATGAAGTGGTGGAGAAGCACCATGGCTATGTGTTCCTCTGCTTACGTCTCTCCTTTTCCCATTGCTTACTGGTTTTGATTCAGACATCCTGGCTTCCATTAAACCACAGTTCCCCATTATGGGTACTGCCACAAGGCAATCCATTTCTCCGTGGATTTTTTTTTTTAATATATAATTTGCCCTGCTGAAACGTTAAATGAATGGAAAATGTTTTATTCCAAAGCAAAAAAAAGAAGAAGGGTTTTGGGGGTATTTTGTTTTTTTTTTGTGACCATTTAGGAGAAATAGTGGAATTGCTAGGATCACTTCTGTTCTAGGAAGCCAGTGATCCTCCAGTAGGGGACCAGCTGGTTAACAATTGAGCTTAGAAGCAGCAGATATTATTTCCTTCTGCCATGTTCTCTAGGTGCAGGAAAGTTTCTTGCATATATAGGAGTCTTGTGAACCCCTACCACAATTTGAAATAGCCCCATCCAGATAAAGGCTTAGTATTGTGACCTCATTTTGGGTGAGATTAAAAATTACTCTGTGTGTGTGTGTGTGTGTGTGTGTGTTTCAATGACGTTACACAGCTACAAGCTTTGAAATGAGATGACTACAATAATTTAACTGGAACAGACCTTTCCTACAATTTCCTTCCCTTTAATGATTATGTTGCATTCTCAAAAGCTGCCCTTGTCTGCAAGACCCAACACTGAGGGGGAACATTCTTGTCAACGCCTCTCAAACTCAATAATCACATTGGTGATCCAGTCCCATGGATTTTAAGCCGAAATTTCTGACTTAACTCAGGAAATATTAACTTAAAACGTCAGAATTTAAGCAGGTTTTAGATCACTTGACATCAGCAGTCCGTCCCCCCCCCCTTTCTTTGCAAATGATGTCAGGAATTTGACTTAGAGGTTACATTTAACTTGCAGTTAAAAGTATGGGGAGTTTTTTAAGCGTTTAACTTATAGTGTATATTAGTAGGAAACTAAGTTGAGCAGAACCCATTAATGTCACAGTGATCGGTTACCAATGGAAATAAATAATTCATGATGAAGGGAATTAGTCTAATTAGCAGGCAGTTTGAGTCCTTTGATAAAACCCAGCTCTAATTCCGTGAAGGGCAGGAAATGCTGTCATCAGTCAGCCCTGAAAAGATTAGCATCTATTATGAATGAGGTTAGACACCCTCGTGAAGTCATGTGTGTCCTGGAGACAAACTTAATATGTTCCAGAATAGGGCACAGTTTGTCTCACCAACACACCGTGAGTCCTACTGGGCTATTGTATGTAGTAACAAGTAAAAGATCTCTGCACTTTCGTATCATTCTCCCCCTGTCCATCATGCTGACAACTGTGCAAATACATTTTCCATGCAAAGCAGGGAATGTGCACGGAATGCTTGTAAACTCGCAGGAGGCGTCAGGGGAAATGGGTCCCTGGGTTTCAACAACCGAAAGGCGGAATGCACATGAGCGCATCAAAATAACATTTGCGTGAGATTAAGGGTTTGAAAATGCAGCTAGCAAGGGTTTATCTTGCCTCTAATATGCACACAGTATCCCTGCCTTCCTTTAGAATGTGGGCACATGGTGTTTTTTTCTCTCAACAACCCTCTATAGCGTGTACTACTTGGGTTTTTGGCATGTGATTTCCCGGTCTCTGATCCTACAACTTGAAACTCTACTCTGTTCATAGAAAGGTTGTTGTAGTGCAGTTGTAAGGTCACTCATGTTGCCGACGCACATTTAAAACTTTTCCAGTTACAGTGATACCTCGGGTTAAGTACTTAATTATCCTGGAGGTCCGTTCTTAACCTGAAACTGTTCTTAACCTGAAGCACCACTTTAGCTAATGGGGCCTCCCGCGGCTGCCGCGCCGCCGGAGCCCGATTTCTGTTCTCATCCTGAAGCAACGTTCTTAACCAGAGGTACCATTTCTAGGTTAGCGGAGTCTGTAACCTGAAGCGTATGTAACCTGAAGCATCTGTAACCTGAAGTACCACTGTACTAAGGTTAGAGGGGTGGGTGGTTTTGTTTTTTAAAAAAGAAATAGTCTACCATAAGGAAAGACAATTCAATGCAAAAAAGAACATTTCTTTTTAGTGCAAGCCAGTCCCACTGAAACCAATGGGAGTAATTTCCCAGGGCTGAAGGCTGTACCATTCCTTAAAACCTTTGATATAAGGCATTTAAACTGAATTCAAGATAGCTCCAGAATCCTCATATCTGAAACCTACATTCTAATGTTGCAGGATCAGCTGTGTTTCCATTTTTACTTATGAGCTTTTTTTTTTTTTCAAATTACATGTTTCTGTCTTGCAGTTTGATACACTAATGAAAAAAACTCCACTCTTTTGAGTTATTGTATTGCCTGCCTTTGTTGTAGGAAATTTATTTCTCTTTTGGTTATGCTAATTTGAGTAGACAACAAAGCCTTTTTTGGTATTTCATCTTCCCGCCTTGAAATAATTAACATAGTAGAAAATATACCGGGTGCCATAGATACTGGGTAGAAGATTACATTCAGAGGTCTGAACAGCACTTAACAGGCTGACAATTGCTACTAAGAAATCTCGCTATTCAAAAGTAGATTTTAAAAGGTAACAACAATAAGTTGCTAATAATCTTTTGGATGATGTGCATTAAAAGCACATCATCCCAAAGATTAAAATAAAGTGGATGAGATTTGTGTAAGTCAGCTCAGTAATTGATACAAATGGAAACAGCAATTTGGAATAAGCACGTCTGACAACCTCTGGAGGAATCTCGCTTTTGCAATCGTGTATACAGATGTCATGATGAGAATTCGAGGAGATGTGCTCACATGTGAACACCAATGATCAAATGCTCATAAGCAACCATTCTCATGGCAGACCCTCCAAGTGCCCCTATTTTCCAGGGACAGTCCCGGATTTACAGAAGTCTCCCAGTTTCTGATTTGATCGTGAAATGTCCTGCTTTTCCTTAGGGCATCCCTATTTTCATTAGAGAAATGTTGGAGGGTATGGAGTTATGCGACCCCTGAGCCATCTGGAGGCAGCCCTGTATAGGAAGGTGGTTTTTTAAAAATGTTTTATATTTTATTATGTTTTGTATATGTTGAAAGCTGTCCAGAGTAGCTGGGGCAAGCCAGTCAGATGGGCAGGGTATAAATAGTACAGTGGTACGTCTGGATGCGAACAGGATCCGTTCCGGAGCCCTGTTCGCATCCTGAGTAGAACGTAACACGCGACTGCGTGTGCGCGGGTCGCATTTTGCCACTTTCGTGCATGAACGACATCATTTTGAGCGTCTGCGCATGCGTGAGCGGTGAAACCCAGAAGTAACGCACTCCATTACTTCCGGGTCGCCGCAAAGCGCAACCCAAAAATGCTTGTTGTTGTTGTTTAGTCGTTTAGTCGTGTCCGACTCTTCGTGACCCCATGGACCAGAGCACGCCAGGCACTCCTGTCTTTAAAAATGCTTAACCTGAAGCTATTTCAACAAAAGGTATGACTGTGAAATTATTACCATTACAGTCGTAACTTGGTTGATGAATGCCTTGTGACTCCCACATTTTGGCTCCCGAATGCCACAGACCCAGAAGTGAGTGTTCCGGTTTGTGAATGTTGTTTTTGTTTTGTTTTTTAATAATATTTATTAGTAGTTTCAGAATTATAGAAGAAAAAAAGAGAAGAAAATAAAAAACAACACTACAATGCATAAAAAGAAGGAAAAATGCAAAAACCAATACAGCAATACAGCAAAAAGATAAAAAAAGGGGGGGAAAACCACAAATCCCAAATTACATATCTTTAACTTCCATTTGCTTGTTTCATTGACCTCCTCACACCTCCCTTTTTGTAGCCGGTTTGCGAATGTTGGAACCCAAACGTCCGATGTGGCTGATGCGGCTTCTGATTGGCTGCAGGAGCTTCCTGCAGCCAATCGGAAGCCATGCCTTGGTTTCGAAACGTTTTGAAAGTCAAAAAGACTTCCGGAACAGATTCCGTTCAACTTCTGAGGTACGACTGTATATCGTCATCATCATCCTCACCATCATGGAATAGGACATCCCTATTTTCATTGGAGAAATGTTGGATGGTATGTCATGGCTACATTCCTGGCAACTGCCTCTGTCTCTCCCTTCTGCTGCCTGAAGGTCAAGAAACTTTTCCTTGGCAGGAGTAAATAGAAACAGTTGTGCCTGTAGATTCTCCCACCGCACTTCCCACTCCTCCCAGGAATTCAGGGTCTGACAATCCCAGTTCACAGCAGGAAAAGAAACTCTGCTGGGGACTGAGGACATTTACAGCCAATGCCAGCTCTTT